AACTCTGTTGTGCTCCCCAGCCCCAGTGTTTGCTTGCCTAGTAATTTCTAACTACCCATAGCTGTGGAAAATGTTGGTCCAACATTTTCACCCTATTTCTAATTGGAGAAATAGAGGAAATAATTACAGAGGCTCTTTATAAATATAAAATATTTTTCCTTTTCATCTGTACCCATAAATGTACATTTCTCATTAGAAATGGTGGTGGCTTTACAGATCCAAAGAAAGCTTTAACCTTTAATTCAGAAGAGAAGGAATAGTCATCTAACTTCCTTTTCACTGCATTTTCAAATTAAGAACCCCATCACAACTTAGAATCTTTATTCTTCTTTCATCCTCCTTCCTTCACAGGGAAGATGAGAACAAGTATAATTATTCACTGCAGTGAGAAGTGTCCCAGAGTTTGCTGCCTTTGCATAAAAGGATGTATAATTATCTGAAAACAGACAATGTTCTTTTTGTGTTAATTCAAACAAATCTTTGGCATTACTCACCATAGAATATTGGACCAGTTGGAATTATCATTGGAAGTAAGCATTAGTGAATGTGGTGGCCGAAGCTATGCTAGAACTACATATGCATCAGTACGGGCATGCTGGCCTGCGGCCACCTGCCATCGACACCCTGTTGTGAGCAAATGCTGACTGAAAGGATGTGGAATGGTTCTGCTGTTCCTGTGCACTCCTAGTGTGCAAGGGATGAAACGGAAGGAAAAACGAAAGAAAATAATAATTCAAAGAGTAAAAATGGTGAGTCACATGGACAGAACAAAGAAAAGCCCGTGGAGGGTAACAGCATACCTCATTAAATTGCTGTAGGCAAAATGATTATGCAGAAAATTGGGAATGTATTTTTGTTCCCAACTGAACAATGTTTACAGATGTTATTTCACTATTCAAAAAGTATGTAAACACACAGTATGAGCACCAGAGCTCAGAGGAGTTTGCCTGGTTGTCATCATTGGGAACGGAGACTGAAGGCTGGGGAGCTCCTAATGTGCCCAGTGCATTCTTTGCTGATCCCCATAATCTGAAAGAAGAACCATGCCAATAAACTAAATCCATCCCTTCGCTTAGGCATAAGGAAGTTGAAATATGGGGAAAGTAATGACGCAGAATATTAACTGCAGAATGAGCAGCAGTTAGATTTGTTTGCAACAATTAAATGGAGAAACCCCAGCAGGAACACAGCACGATGCTTCAGACAAACAAATAGACTCTTCAGAAGTTATGGCCCCTCTGGCAAGTATGCTTGTGTTGCCTATCTTACACATTTCAGAGGAGAAAATAAACAAAGACAAAAAAGATAACCAGACGTTAAAATTTATATTTAAAGAGAAACGGACAATAACATGGATGTGGACTAACCAGTTTTGTCTGGCTATTTACTTATTCAGAAAACAAAGAACAAGAAAGGATAAAGCAAAATATATAGAAATAACTTATGTGTAACTGACTTTGAAATTCCCTCTTCAACTGTGGGGCAAAATATGTGCCGCTAGAATTTCAATTCAGCAGCAGTTTTCACCTTCAAAGAGCTTTACAATTACATGGTAACTTCGACTTTTCTGTAATCACAAGAGAGGCTGTGAGAGATGACAGCTCTCCTCTTCAGAACTCTGAGTGGCGAGAATTAAAAACCTGAGTTAAAATTATTACGTTAGAAAATCCAGCCTATTCAAGCTTTAGAAAATGTTGTGCTTATGTTTCCTATGATAGAGAACTCCTCATGTTTTTTACATCCTCCAACCAGCCCTTTAAAATGAAAGTGAAGATGTCCTGTTAATAGCATAATTCTAGTAGGTGGGAGACCATGATAAAAAACAGCCATGAAAGTCAGTAATAATTCTGTAACGTACAGTCACTTTGGGAACTGGTCACTGAGTTATATCTGCACAAACCCCTAGAGCAGCATGGGCAAGGCTGGGCTGCAGAGCTGGTGTGCTGGGCTCCTTCCCACAGCCCATGGGCCTCACACTGTCAAACTTTTTGGGTAGCAGATTTGTTGGTCCTAGTCAGCTTGGTTTTGTTGGTAAGTGTGGCTTTATTAGCTGGCATCTGAGCCCAGACTATCAAGAGGTCTAGGGCTGAGGAAGTGCACTGATACACCAGTCTCTATGAAACTAAGAGCTTTTTCCTTTTATTACAGCCATGGACATGATTTTTGAACATTGAAACTGTCCAGAAAAGTCAGGAAACAGCCTGAGAACAGACCTTGCCATTCCTCTATACTAAACATCCCTGCAAAAACTATTCCTCTACACTAAACATCCCTACAAAATGGATGTGGGTTTGGATGGATGAAGAAAGTTGTGTCTAATAGGCAGCACAGTGGCTGAGACCTTCTCCAGTCCCATAAACTGTAGTGCTTTTCATAGCTTCCCATTAAAGAATACCTCCTTTACTTCCCCCAGATTTTCCCTGCTAAAGGCTGGATCTCAAGGGTTAAGCTGCAACAACATATCTCTTCTTCTAGATTACTTCTTTTGCAATTTACACACATTTCATGTGGAGTTTTGCTTTTCAGGGAAAATCTGTCTTAAAAATAGCTTTTATTTAATTCAGCATAAGCCCAACGAGCTGTGTCACTGCCAGAGACCCTTGTTTGGAAGCAAGCTTTGCCATTCTAATAGGGCAGGGCACAAAACTAACATTTCTCAGCACTTTGGACTTCGTATTCCATGACAGCAAAGCAGAACATGGTTAGTATATGTAAAATCACTTTGTTATATACCCTGCTGGTCCCAGCCTTGTTTTATCCAAGCATTATCTTTGTTCATTTCTACTAAATTCACGTTATATTTTCCTCAGAGGCTGGTCTTTACAAGACAGATCGGGTATTTACTTTTTCTCTAAATGCCTACTACGTTCTTCATAGTAGCACATTCATTCCACAGATCTTCCCGCTTATTAAACAATTTCTAAACTTAGCAGAGGCTCTCCCGTCTTTAATGCAAACCATGCGTACAGCTTCCAGATGACTCAGCTGAGAGCTAGAGCTGGGCAGTGGTGTTCTCTGATAAACACATAAACAAAAACAACAACCCATGTCAATTGGTACTGCCTGTAAGAACAACACCCACGGCGCTCTTCTAATTGTGTTAGAGTTGGAAGGGAAGGCGGCATGTAAAAGGGGTCAAATACAGGCTGTTTCTCTAAAGCATAGATTGCTACCAAAGAGAAAAAGTTAAAAGAAACCTGATTTTTTTTTTTTTTTACAGCTTGCTGAAAACTTAATGTAGCTGCCTTGCAAATTTGCAGTCAGTGTCAAAAAAAAAAAAAAAAAAAAAAAAAGCCAGAAGCAGATGCGTAAGAAAAAGAACAGCCAAGCTTGATGCTAACATTCTGCAATGCAAACCATGCAAACTGGTTTCATCATCCACTACCTGCTGTGTTCCTTGGCTTGGTGGTATAAGGATGACTTTATTTACATTTGGAACTTCTGACTAAAAATGAACATATTTAACGTTTCAGGGGCGGGATGAATGTTCGCTATTCACTCAGCAATACTTTTCCAATAGCTGTTCAGCAGCTTAAGTGGCTTTTAAGATTTTATTATTACTTCTTGTTATTTCTCTGTTAATAGTCACTTCTAAAGTAATTTGTATTTCTAGCTTTTATTTTGTTTTGCTTTGTGGTTTGTTGTTGTTCTTTTTTTTGGGGTGTGTGTGTGTTTTGTTTTGTTTTACAGCCTGAAAATTAGACCAGAAGCTTACTTTCCTTAGTAGAAAAGAAGAGCTTTTTATTACATTTCTTAATAAATTCAATACCTTTTAAGTAAAGTCTTATCAGCCTCAGGAGGGCTCCTGAAGAAATTTGTTTGACTTTCAAATACTTTCTAAGTGAAAGTTGTACACAATGGAAAAGAAATTCTCATTACTTAGCTATAAGAATTAACACATTCCCCTCTTCTCAAGTCCTGAAAAAGGGACCAAATATTGGGCTAACAATACAATTTGGCTAGAAAACCCAAGAATTATAGAAGATTTTTCTTCTAAAAAATTTTTGATTAAAAAGATCTGGCTGACTTGCAATACTGATTCCCTTGAGAGGCTCCACTTCGCAATGCACAAGGTACAGCAGATCTGCTGAGACCTGAAGTGGAAGAAAAATGAACCCTAACGCATTTTATCATCTACCAAATCATATGGAAGAAGAGAGGATGAAACGTGTCCTGGTGTTTTAACTGTTGAAACGAATGAATGACAACTTTTGTTAAAGCTTATATCAACATAATAACTTTTAATGTAATTGTACACCACTAGCCATAGCTTTGGGGTTCCCTTCATTTCAAGAATTTCAAAATAAATCACCAAACACCAACATGCATTAACCACGCACCCTTCTAAAATGGGTGTAAATTCCTGGATCAGCACATATACGTAGCAAGGTCATTTCTGAACAGGGAGAAGCTATTGTGTGGCTGGGCTCTGAGGGCACCAGCGGCACTGCTGGCCTCCAGGGGCTCTCCCCACCCTGCCCATGGCCCGGGACCCCACTGCATCCCCCCTGGGGACGTTATCCCCAGCGATGCCATAAGATGTTGGTCTCCTGCTCTGTCACAGTCCTGCCCTGCCTGGCCACCGGCCCCGCTGAGCTGGGCTGACATCCCGGACCTTTCCTGGCCTGTCCCTTTCTCCAGGGACACGCAGGATGCCTGGAGCTGGGGCTGCCCCTGGCTGCTCCCCAGATGCCCCCCAAAGGTCCCCGCTCCCCGGCTGGAGAGGTGGGATGAGCCAGCCCTGCTCACCCCGTGGGGATCCTCCCTGGCTCCTGTGCCCCCGGGAGCACCCACCCACCCAGTGCCCTGATGCCACAGAGCAGTGTCACTGCCAAAGAAAACAAACAAAAAGTTGCCTTCAATTACCCTTGACGGCGCTTAAATTGGAGCGTAACGGGGAGCAGAAGATAAATGTGGGGTGAGCGGCTGTGAAAGCATTTTCTGTAAGGTTTGCTCTAGGCTAGTAGGGAAATAAAACGCCATCACACTGTCACACTCACCTGATTTTCCGCACTACTGTTCTCATTGCCCATTTCGATGCTGGCGTCCAGTATCACACAGCAAACAAGAAAAGATCACTAGAAGAAAAGAAAAAGCTCTAAGTCTTCCATTAAAAAAAAAAAAAAACCAACAAAAAACCCCAAACAAAAAAAACAACAACAAAACCCCCTGGAAGGAATATCATCTCACTCTATCAGCGGCCTCTCCCAACATTCAGTCTCACAATGATTTTAAGTCATAAATCAGGGGAAGAGACCTCCTGATACTTTTATTTCACGTCTCTGCTGTCTGACCTAAGACTTACACTTGAAAGACACTCCTTGAAACTGGGATTTGGTACTCTGTTTCTGGATTATCCTCTGTCATTTGAGCAGAAAAGCATTTTTCTTGCCAAAGTTACTCTGGATGGACAGCCCATATGAAAACCTTACTGTTTTAACTGTATTCAAGCCACCTGTAGTTCTTGGAGATCCTGGGCTGAGCTGCACGCTCATGTCAGAACTGCAATGCTAAACTTGACTGTTACTGTAAGCGAAACAATTTCCCACATATGCACTCAGCTTTAAGAAAGGGCAAATGGATTTTCTATCCTCATCACTGGAGTCGTACCCTGCTTTTCTTAGGCATTATTCTACTTACAATAATATGATATAAACACATTTTCTTTTACACTTAATAGGATCTGCTCACCTTAATTACTATTGGTTTTACACTTGTTCAACACTAATTATTTAATTTAAAAAATAAAAACCTCTGAGTATTGTAACCAGCAGCTCTAGAATTAGTGTCTCTCCGGGCATCATTCATTTATGTATTTTTTTGAACAGGACACTCGATAGTAAAAATACTCAACAGAGATTCACTTATAGATGTTTACTTCTTGTTCTAGACATTTTATTTTGGGGCTCAGACATTTAAATTCACTGTATTTATGGTATCACTGGATAGGTGAAAATTACACACTCTTCGGTTTTTTTTTTTCCAAAGAATGTGAAATTGGTCTGTGGCATAAGTCAAGAAAAACTCCATTAAAGTCAGGCTGTAAAAGAAAGATTGCACTTTGTTAGCCAAGGAAACCATATAAGCTTTTAAGGAATGCTATTACTTGTTACTACAGTACACTTTTTTTAAACTTGAAAGGTTATTTTTGTTCACAGGAGGCTTGGTGAGAGAGAGAGAGAAGTTTGGTATTGTGCTTTTAAGCTATGCTCTGTTTAAACTTGAGTGTCTTCAGGGGATATATTGGTGCTTGAACTTGCTCCTGTTGAAATCACTGGGGCCAGGATTGCACTTTTAGTGATTAATTATCAACACTAGGTTTTATCTGCTGAGATTACTGCCAAATCCTCTACTGTTTTAAAGTAGTATTGAACTGAACTGACGACTGTATGTAATATTTCCAAAATCACTATTCCCCAAGTATGAAGTACTCCATCATGAAGTGATGGTGTTTTCAGGCCCAGTTCAGTGAAATGTTCCAAGAAAACAGATTAAGATTATAATATTTTAAGTATGTATTCATATAAAAAAAAAATTCTCACACTGTTAGAGTAACTAACTAAGCTTTCTATGCACAGGAGAGAAATAATAACTTTGCTATAGCAATATGCTTCCCTCAACAGCCAGCAGGAGGGAATATACTGGCATTTCTGTGCCCCTGACCTAAGAAACTTTTATCTTCCCAGCTCCTTCTCTGTTTCCAGACATCACGTGAAAACACCAGGAAATTCAAAGCTCTCTGAACCGTCTCCTCACAAGCACTTACAGTAATAACATAAGATGGGATGAAATTCTCTGAGTCCCCATGGAGCTGTTTGGTTAACTGGGGAGGTGTCTTCTATATCAGTTGTAGAAAATGGAAATTTTGCTTATCGAGTTCTTAAATAGATTAGCCAGTGTATGACATAATGTTGCTCTGTTTTAGAGTAAGTTCACTTCAGAGCATAACACACTCTCAACGCTTCTGCACCAGTTCTGCAATATTGACCATTAAGAACAGCAGTTGCTAATTAGAGGCCAAATTTGTAACATTAATTTTAAAGAAAAACCACTTTATTTACTGTGATTTATTAAAATGTACAGTAATCAAAGTAGAAAATTACAAAAGCACAGCAAAAGTGCTATCACAAATCTCCACTAACATATCACATCGCGCTACTTTTTTCTTTCCCTAGAGCATGATGTATCACAACTGTCACCCAATTCTCACATTACCATCAGCTTAAGATAATGTCATAAACAAGGAATAAAGTCGTTATAGATTCTGCAATAATGAGACAAGTGATAATAACAACGCATGAATTGCATTGCAGAGTAACAAAGATGATTTTTTCTGATTACAATGTTATTGTAATCCTTTTTACATACATTTTCTCAGTGCACAAGCATTATTTAGGTTGCAAACTACAAGTGCTTTATCATATGTATAGAATTTCAAATAAACATTAAAAACATGCTAAAAATCCATTCATTAAATAAACATAGGTTAACCAAAAGATAATCTTTCCAATCTTTCTATACTATCTTTTACAATTTACATATCATTATTAAAATTATTTTAACACTACATATCTGAAAAATTGCTCACTAGTACCAAATTGGTCTGATCAGCCCATAGAGACATTTGTAATGTACAGTAAAACAACTACTTTCCTGAAAATAAGCGACCAACAGAATATTTAACTTTACACTTACATTTCCAGGATTAATCTGGCGGTTTTGGATTCACTGACACTCAGAGCATGTCTTCAAACCATTCCTTCCATCTTCACCTCACAAGTTTTCACCTTATTTTCCTCCTACTTCTCCTCAGACTGACATGAAATGTAGGCTTTCTTTCAGGGACCCACCTTCATAACCTGCTGAACAACCAACTTGCCTCCACCCCAGGCAAAAAAGAAAACGAGTTATACTTCCTCCACCCAGGCCCCCCCCCACTGCTCCTGGGAGACTGCTATGGCTCTGCATGTCATGAATTGACTACTAAAGTTTTTCACAAAAGCAACCCCAGAGAAAATGGATTTTGGTTAAAATATATTTCTCTTCTACTGTTTCTTGGCTTATGATATAAGCAGCGCTTCTTGCACTACAAAAATTGTTCGGTGAAACAGCAATACATCGAAGTTACGCATGCGTTTTCAAGGGAAAATTAGTATTGGGGGAATATCTATTCAGCATTTTGTTTTCCAGTGCGTTTATGTGTTTAATTTTGCCTTTCATTTTCTTGTATTAATCTTGAAAACTCTCAGAAATACCTGCTAACAAATGTTGACGTTCCTGTTCAGGTTATGCTGAAATCATTTCCCACTTAATCATCTGGAAGGGTGGAGACAAAACCCCTTTGAAATGTGATGTTGCAAGAAGTACAGGTTTATGGGTGAGCTAATTGTTATGATTAATGCTCATTGTCCGTTCCAGCATTGCTTCCACAAAGGGGTGCTCATAAAGACAGCTGATAACAAAAGGCGGTGTATTTATCATTAGTGCCAGCTAGGAGCGATGAACCAAGTTTCTATGAACACTCGTGGTGCTTGCTGGTGCCACACAGCAAAGGCACTGTCTACTGCTGGTTTAGTGCACCCCGACGAGCTGCTAGGCAGGGTTACTGACTCTGGCATGGAAAATTCATTTCTGACATGACTGAGAAGCAGAATTTCATAGGGTATCTATATTCTGTCTGATGGTTTTCCTGTTCCACAGCGTCTTGGTCTACAAACATCTGGGTGGAAGAAACATTTGGCATATAAAGGGCTGGAATGAACAGTTGAAATGTCAGGGACTTTTTTTTTTTTTTTTTTTTTTTTTTTAATGAAGTTGGTGATCCAGCAATCCAAGCTTCCAAGCATTACTATACCACCTTAAGCCACTGTTACGGATCAAAGAAGAATTCCATAGATCAGAAATAAATTACCTGTATTCCCTGAGCTTTTTCAGGTTGTAAACTGAATTACATACAAGTGGGTTTGGTGGTGTGTGGGTGTTACAGTATATCAAATAAATCTGCACTATATCTCTAAGAGTTCAAGATGGAAAAGATCTACAGTGAAGCTCAAAAACTAAAGGATGTGAAAGGGGCTGTCACATCTCCTTTTCGCTGGTCTCCCCAGCCTGCTTCAGGATCCAGAAAAGCTAAAGTTCATCAAATCAATGTTTTAGTGTGCTCTTCCTCAGAAAACAAAATAAGGCCATTGTAAAATTCATTGCCTATAGACAACAAATTATGCCACATTTTTGTTTAGGCTCTCTGCGGTGAATTTAAGACCAGGGATCCTGTGGGAACTCAGGAAAACAGAAGCCTGGTAATATATATCCTCAGTTCTGCTAGCCACATTATTGCCTTATAAACAAACTGAACTCCTACTTGGTGCTATTCCATTTCTAAAGCTATAGGCCAGAAAACGCCACAAAGTGAGAGTGAAGAAGCTGCCTTGAAAAACAATTGTCTGGCACACACTGCGGAGAAGTTCTGGTAGTTGATAATAATTTCTGATATATATATATATATATATATTTTTTATCAACATGTGTGAAAAGGAGGATCCCTCTGGCTAACCTTGTGTAAGGTTTTCAAAGCCACGCAGACAACTGAATTACTGCCAGAGCCACGAATCACGTGAAATGAGGGGGGCAACATACATGGTAATAGAGCAGCCATGTTCTCTATCTCTGGACCTAGAACGTCTCTGTCTGACAACGCTGACATTATATCTTTGGGTCAGTTTTCTGACCCACTCTCATGTCAGAACTGGGATACGCTCCGGTCCTCTCCCAAACAACACCTACTTGCTGCAAGTAATTCCCATCTAAGCAGATGCTGCTCTTCTGCTCCGTTCCAGTATGAAGCCAAATCACTTTGCATAAGCCACTAACTGTGAGAGCATTCCTCATCCTCTGATGTCTTGATTTATTCCCTTTGATTTTATGAGAGAACTGGTGGGAGAAGAAGTACTCACATCAGGCTGCTTTACTGTTATTTCCTGGAATTCCCCTGTGCTTCTTCATCCACGCTTCCCGCTCATCCAGGGACACTGTCTGTTCTCGATCAAAAGAAGATCTAACCCAGGAGGACCGAGAGACT